TCATACCTCAGCTGCAGAATAGTTTTGGGTGCCAAAAAGAAGTCCGTAGCGCTGCGTCTTGAGAAATTGTCAACTGTTAGCACACAAAATACGAGCACATTCCGAGAACTTCTTTGTAAGTTTGCCTAAATTTGTGGTTTGGGCACACAAAAAGCAATAAGTTGCATGGCCACTCCGGGAACTGTTGCTACACTGGAAACATGTACCGGAAAGAGGGAAAAACAAAACCCGCTGGTAAATTACATTTTCAGCCATTAGCCATTCACAGACAGCACACGGCCAGACAATCTGATTTCCACAACACACACAGCTCGCAAATGGCAACAGAAGTGTTTCTTGCTGACTTTTCTGCTTTTGTAGCTATTAAAACGGACTACTCGCAAGTTATGTTCCAAAATATGCTGAAATCCATCTTGCATCTTGACCACATTAAGAGAGAACTTTTCAAAAGTTGAATAGTTATTTACAAGTCCTGTTAGTGCCAGGTTGAGCCAATTTGATAACACTTCTGCGAATACCTAAAAACCTTTAAAGAGACATTAGAAAACAGCAAAAAATAGGTGTAGGGATTTTTATTTTTATTAATATTTGAAGATGCGCTTCCTGAATGCTTCCTGTAGCATTCAAATGTGGCCACTTTCTACCCACTTAATGCTGATATCAATGCCCCCCTCCCAAAAAAAAAAAATCAATAGCAAAATAAGAAGATTTGGGGAATACAAACAGAAGAATCATCTCCACAGAGAAAAACGAGCCACATTTTCTTCATATGGCTCATAAGAAAAGAGATGTTGCACAAGTCTGTTTGTTATGTTTAAGAATAAATTCCTTCGGAAACCTTGGGGTCAGTTCCTCTAAGCCACTGTACTGAAGTGAATGTAATGAATCCCAAAGCCAGATAAACGAGTGCTGGACAAAAGACTTGACCTGTGGAGGTTGCGGTAAAGGTGTGAGACTTTCCATCATGAGAACCATAGCATCAATATAATACTTAACATTTAGTCTTTGTTTTTTCCAATAAATTCTTTAAGCTTTTTGTAGAGTTTTATCACTAAGGCCATTTTGTCGGGTGCATTTGTGATTTGGATTAAAACGCCCCGTTTGATGTTAAATACGAACTTGGAAAACACTGCAGATGCAAATGAAAATGTATTTTTCTGCCATATAAATCTCTGATGAAAGACTTTTAAAAATCTGACGCGTGAAGGAAATAGATGCCATTGATAAGAAAGCATTGCATGCATTTGGATGTTGCCTGGCACATAAACACTGAGCTGTCACACAGCAGGTAACAGCAGACATCATAGACATATAGTTAGAGCCAAGACTAAGATATCCAACACACACACTCTCCATTCTGTCAGTTATGAGAAATGAATCCAAATTAACACCATGTCGGTTTCGACGCGAATCTGACCGTCTGACTGCCTTTTCTTTTTGTTCCCTCTGACTTTGTTGTTCAGATATTGTCCCAGGTCTGTGCACAACAATATTATAATTCCTAACAGGACAGAGAGCCGAAACTGTGGAACTAAAACCCAAATTAACGTTTTAAAGGGTTGGGAACAATGGGTCTTTTATGATTAGACCATATGTTACAGAAGTGATAATATTTACACAAAGAATAATACAAAGCCCTCTCACAAACACACACGCACACACACGCACCCACACAGAAGTAGGGGTTCACATCACCACTACAGAAGGATCTTTGTTCTCTGGGTGAGATACCAACACTGCTGTGAGACTCTTTCTTCACATGTGTGCAAGAACACACACACACACACACACACACACACACACAC